CATTCTTGGTACTATTCTTGTAACAACATATGAAATTATATAAAAATTTTAAGTTCCTAAAACTGGTTGTAGAAGTATATGCTCAGAGTGAGCATCTATTTTGTAAAATAGCAATTAAGACCAAAACTTTAATCAGCTAAAATCTGATCAAATAAAAGTAGTGATATATTACAGTATTTTTGATATCAAATCATGGTAAAGGGGCAATAACTTTTACAAGTTTCTCTCCAAGCACAGTACATTTTTGTGGATTTTTCAAGAATTTAACTTCCTGTAATTCTTATCTTCTGCCACCTAAGTGACACAGTTTACCAAATAATTTTAAATAATGGTTAGATTTGGTTAGATTCTCAAGGCGTCCTCTTTGAAAATCATACATTTAGTTTTGATGTGGAATTGGCCTCTTTGTTTCTAAGAAAAAAAATACAAAAATACCCCCTTATTGGCCAGGTACAGTGGCACATGCATGTAATCCCAACACTTTGGGAGGCTGAGGCAGGTAGATCACGAGGTCAAGAGATCGAGACCATCCTGGCCAACATGGTGAAACCCCGTCTCTACTAAAAATACAAAAATTAGGTGTAGTAGTGCACGCCTCTAGTCCCAGCTACTTGGGAGGCTGAGGCAGGAGAATTGCTTGAACCTGGGAGGCGGAGGTTGCAGTGAGCCAAGATCGCACCACTGCACTCCAGCCTGGTGACAGAGTGAGACTCCATCTCAAAAACAAACAAACAAAAAATGCCCCCTTATTAACACACAATGGATTTCTCATGACCATTATTTCTAGTTATGCACAGTCTTCTTACTATATCAGTAAAATCATTCTGAACTTGTTCCATTTCTCAGGTAGAAGATAGAAGCCAGCTCAAGATAGATTAAAGACTTAAATTTAAGACCTGGAACTATGAAATGGCTAGAAAAAAACATAGGGAAAACTCTTCAGGACTTTGGTTTAGGCAAATAATTTATGGCTGAGATCTCAAAAGCACAGGCAACAAAAGCAAAAATAGATTAGTGGGATATAGCTTTTGCACAGCCAAAGAAACAACACAGTGAAGAGACAGCCCCTTGAATGGGAGAAAATAACTGCAAATTACTCATCTGACAGGGGACTAATATGCAGAGTACACAAGGAACTCAAATTCCTCAAAAGTAATGAAACAATCCCATTAAAAATGGGCCAAGGACAGGAATAGACTTTTCTCAAAAGACATACAAATGACTAACAGGTATATGAGAAAATGCTCAACATCATTGATCAGGGAAATGCAAATCAAAACCACAATGAGATATCATCTCACCTCAGAATGGCTATTATTAAAAAGACAAAAAATAACAGATGCTGGTGAGAATGCAGAGAAATGGAAACTCTGTTACACTGTCAGTAGGATGCAAATCAGTATAACCATGATGGAAACCAGTATGGAGAATTCTAAAAAACTTAAACATAGAACTACTGTTCTATGTCCAACATTCCCACTACTGGGTATTTATCCAAAGGAAAGAGTTCAGGCCAGGCATGGTGGCTCATGCCTGTAATCCCAGCACTTTGGGAGGCCAAGGCAGGTGGATCACTTGAGGTCAGGAGTTTGAGACCAGCCTGGATAACATGGATAAACCCCATCTCTACTAAAAATGCAAAAAATAATTAACCTGGCATTTTGGCACACACCTGTAATCCCAGCTACCTGGGGAGGCTGAGGCAGGAGAATCACTTGAACCCAGGAAGCAGAGCTTGTGGGGAGGCGAGATTGCGCCACTGAACTGGCTGGGTGACAGAGTGAGACTGTTTCTTAAAAAAAAAAAAAATAGTGTAGCAAAGGGATACCTGCACTGTCATGTTTATCATAGCACTATTCACAATAGCAAAGATATGGAATCAACCCAAGTATCCATCAACAAATGAATAGCTAAGTAAAATGTGCAAAATGTACACAATAGAACACTATTTGGCAATAAAAAATAATGAAATCATATCATTTGCAAAAACATGGATAGATCTGGAAGTCATTATGATAAGTGAAATAAGCCAGGCACAGAAAGATACTGCAGGTTCTTACTCACATGTGGGAGCTAAAAAAACTTGATCTCATGGACACAGAGAATACAGTGGTAGATACTAGAGTCCGGGAAGACTGGGTGTGTGGAAGGGAGAATGAAGAGAGGGTGACTATTGGGTGCAAACATACAGTTAGTAGAAATGAGCTGTAATGTTTGATAGCAGACTAGAGTAACGAAGCAACAATATTTCAAAGTAGCCAGAGTACACATTTACTGCATGTAACAAACGCTCGTATGTACCCTATTAAATAGGTAAAATATTATGGGTGTCAATTTTTTTTTGTTTTTTTGGGTTTTTTTTGTTTTTTAGAGATGGAGTCTTGCTCTGTCGCTCAGGCTGGAGTGCAGTGGCACGATCTCAGCTCACTGCAAGCTCTGCCTCCCGGGTTCACACCATTCTCCTGCCTCAGCCTCCCGAGTAGCTGGGACTACAGGCGCTCGCCACCGTGCCCGGCTAATTTTTTGTATTTTTAGTAGAGACGGGGTTTCACCATGTTAGCCAGGATAATCTCGATCTCCTGACCTTGTGATCCGCCCACCTCGGCCTGCCAAAGTGCTGGGATTACAGGCAATGATTTTTTTTTTAAGATCGAGAGGTTATGTCCAAGTCTCCAGAGAGGGGCTCTTTGGATCCACACAACACATCGTGCTCACCTGCATCCACTCCTCCACCATGCTGGTCCTGTCTGGGCTTTCATGCTCTGGCTCCCAAGGCAAGTGGTGCTGACTCAGGTGGCCACACTGTGGACCTGGGTGTTGGTGGCCTAGAAGGTGGGTACTAGGGGCTTCTTGCCCTAATTGTTTCACTGAGACCAGTTGGAGCCAGGCAGTGACAGGGCATCACCTTCTTGACCAGATCCTGGGACATAGGAGGAGTGTCACCTGGCACCTCCTCATCCCAACTCAGATCCTAAAGTACCCCCAGACCTGGGCCATGGCTGGGCTGGAATTCAGGAAGCCTAGGATGCAGCTCAAGCCTTGTGGCATCTCTGGGTTCTCAGCCCACTGAGGGTGCCCCATACAGATGATCCAGGACTCATAGCTGGTGGGAAGAGAGTGGCATTTCTCTGACCCCTCCTTACTCATGCCAAGCACCCCAACTGTCCTTCCTGGTCCATCACCCTGGTCACATTCCCCAGGGCAGCTCAGGGCTTTGTTCAGATGTCTGCCATAGTCAGGTGCCTAATAAGTGCTGAGACTTGCAAGACCACCTGGGCAGATGGGTTGATGCCCTCTGGTGAGCACCCCCAGCAGCCAGGCCCCTGTCCACATGTCTGCCTGCTCCTGCTTGTGTTTGATTGTCACAATGCTGCTTTCCAGGGACACCGGCTCCCATCCCTCCTGTCGATAAGGACAGAGACAGCAAGTGCCTGGGAATAAGGCATTTGCCAGGTGGCACAAGTAATGAGGGTCGGAGCTGGGATTTGAACCCGGATCATGGAACTCCGCATGGGGGAATGCAGGTGTGGGGATACCCATAAAGGAAGGAAGGGTGGCCCAGCCCCACTGAGCCCAGCTGCTCCCTGCAACCCTGGAGGAAACTGCTCTGCTCTCAGGTGGGGAGAGGGCCCAGGCGGCCAGGCCTCCCCTTGCTTGCTGGCTCAGGGGATCACAGTGGGACAAGGAGATTTAGAGTGTATGTCTTCTTTCCTTTTCCTATTTCATTCAAAAGTTCATTTAGTATCAAGCAAGAGGAGCCTTAGCTTAACCCTGCAGATCAGGCAAGACTTGAGTTACAAAAGAATACATTCTTTTTGCACTTTTAATTCGCTTCTCCTCTACTTTTGTTGGCAAGAGCAGGTCTGTGTCCCAGGTTTGGAATCCATTTTTCATCCCACACCAAAGCGCCTACTGTTTGGGTGAGCACCCTGGAGCCTGGCCGCGTGGAGCTGTGTGGCAGGAAGGTCCCCACAGAAGGGTCACGGCACCACTGCCCAGGTCCAGCTCAACTCTGCTGCCAGGGTTTCCTGTTCTGGCTCCCTGGGGCTTGCAGCGTCCTGTTCCCAGGATCTGCACATAGGGGTGCCTTTCTGCATCTCTCCGTCAGTGGTAGGTGCTCCTCCAAGCCCCCACGGCTTGCCAGCCTGGAGACAGCGGCCTGCACCCCGCCCCTGTTGCATGCCAGCTGAGAGGAGCCTGGGCCAGAAGCCCCACAGCGGTTGGCTGTAGCTTGGACACCGGTTGGGGACAACGGGGCAGGGGCTGGCCGCCCAGCCCTAATCCTATGGCCCCTTGCTCTGGGTGGGGACCAAGGAGGAGCGGGTAGAGAAGGTGCCTCAGGCAGGCCCTAGGGACCGTGGGCGGCTTATGTTCCACGATTTTGAGGTCATTTGCAGCGAGCTCCACCAGCCTGCCCTTCCCCTGCAGCCGCCACCACCCGCACAGCACCGCCACGAGTGTATTCGGGGTTTTCTTCAGAGGAGACTGTCAGCATCCTCAAGTTTCAGGTGCTCTGGCCCCAGTCCTGCTTCTTGACGCTTTTTCCCAGGGGCTGCCTCCCCTTCTCAATGGCCTGAACCTTGGCCAGTTCCCAGGAAGTCTGACGGGAACACAAGGCTGTCACTGGCATTTGTGGCACTATAACTTACAGGCACGCGTGTTGCACACATCGGACACTGTGCCACATGCAGTGACACCATCTGAGGTGCGCACGCGCACGCCGCACCGGCTTGGCTTGGCGTTCTGCACGTGCGTGTGTAACGGCTTGGCTTGGCGTTCCTCGCTTGGCTTGGCGTTGGTAGCTTTGCTTCCTGGTCCTTGCGTGGATTGGCGTTTCCTCCCTCGGCATTCCTTTGCTGGGCTTGACCTTTTCTTGGCTGGGCTTGGCATTCCCCTGGCTGGGCTGGGTGTTTCCTTGGCGGGTGGGTGGAGGGGCTTGGCCTTTCCCCAGGTGGGTGTGGGCTTTCCCCCGGGGTGGGAGTGGGATTTCCTCAGGTGGGTGTGGCCTTGCAAATACTGCTGGGCTTGGCCTCTCCCCGCCTGGGCTGGGCTCCGCTGCTTTGGTGGGTTTTGGCTGTTCTTGACCTTTCTCCTGTAAAAGATTGGAAACCTAGAGTTTCTTGCTTGTTGGTGAAATTTGTTGGCAGAGGTGATTGGCTAGCTACTACCTGGCTCCCCAGGCTGGTAAAAGAGGATGGGGGCTGAGGTTTCTTCAAAGCCGGCTGCATCCACTATGAAGAAGCCTTTTGGCCTCAGCGGCAAGATGGGCAAGTGGTGCTGCCACTGCTTCCCCTCCTGCAGGGGGAGTGGCAAGAACCACGTAGACTCTAGGGGAGACCACGACGACATCGCCTGTTTGGAGCCAAGGTAACACGTCCGTCGAGAAGATCTGGGCAAGCTCCACAGAGCTGCCTGGTGGGGTAAAGTCCCCAGAGCGGATCAGAGGCGGAATGTGTGGGGATGGGGTGGGGATTTGCCCTTCTGTGGGATGGGCGAGGGCTGACTTTCTTGCCTCTGCAGGCTTCACAGCACCCTGGATGTGGAAACCTCAGAGAGGTTGGCGCAAAGGCCTCTTTATGAGCAGCAACACAAAAAAATTTTAGCTGATTTCCAATCAATAATAATTTCCTTTACATAACACTTAATAGACTGTTTTAAAGTGGTTTAACTTGCAAGATTAAGTCAATGCAGCAGATTGTTTTTAATGTATACATTTAAAACAATGTTATATGCATTATAGAAAGGTGTGTAATGAGAAATAATTCCCATAATATATCGACTTATGGGCTAAATATTCTTTAGATAAAATCCAATGTGCATTTTATGTCAATGTATCCCTATATAAATATGTTCTTCATTGAGGAATCTTAGGAAGAAACTGAAATGGGAAGATGGTTCATGTCCTTGAATAGGAAGATTCATTTTTTTCAAGATGTGAGTTCTTTATATATCACCTTTCCCTAAGCCCAAATAAAAATATCAAAGTTTTAACATTTTTAAGTTACACATGGTATCTTTTACTATTCTGATAAATCAGTGTTTTGTAACAGAATGGAAAAAGACTTGCCTTTCTAGGTATCAAAATGTACTAATATTTCCACAAATTGTTTACCGGCAACTGAAAAGACATAAATGAATAGAACAGAATAGAAAATCCAGAACTACCCAAGTGTATGTAAGAATTTAGAAGTTGATAATGGTCACATTTCATATTAGTAGAAATGTAGCAGGACGAGCCGCAGACAAAACTCCTCAGACACCAGATTAAAGAAGGAAGAGGTTTTTATTTGGCTGGGAGCGTCGGCAGACTCGTGTCTTAAGAGCCGAGCTCTCTGAAAAAGAAATACTTGGCCTTTTTAAAGGCTTACAACTTTAAGGGGTCCACGTGAAAGGGTAGTGATAAATCGAGCAAGCGTGGGAAACGTGACTGGGGGCTACATGCATCAGCTAACAGAACAAAAAGTTTTACAATGCTTTTTTCATACAGTGTCTGGAATTCACAGATAACACAAGTAGTTCAGGTCAGGGGTTGATGTTATTATTACTTTTTTTTAACTCCCAAGGCCGGATGGTGGTGCCAAGGTTGTCTGGCTATTTATCTTACTTTTATTTCTTTCTAACTTTTTGTTTTATCTTTTTCCTCCTGTCTTGTGAACTAAGCAAGGTAGGAGGAGGCAGCAGGAGTAGTAGTGGTCTCCTTCCTTAGCCCCCACTTTGAGAATGTTCACTAATTAGTGGGAGTTCTCACTTTTATTTTTACTTTATGAGTCTCCTTGTGAGACAGAGCGATAGTGTCTTATGTAATACACTTGTGCTGAAGTTTTCTGATGAACCATGGTAGCTACAAAACTTTTTATCATTTGAAGAAGCAACTGTCATACACAGGGGAGCAGCAAGCAAGTTTCTATTACTAGTAATACACTTACAGTGAGGGTTTTAAATTTTCTTATAGCTGGAAACTATTTTCTAAATAAAGACCTAGGATCAAACCTGTGTTAAACCTGTACAGGCACATGTATCAACTTTGTCATGTCCTAAGCAGGTTAGTTTTTTTACTGGGTCTTAAAAGCTTTTTCTTAGCGAGTAACACAGTATTTTTTAATAATAAAAGTTTTTAAGAGCCAGATGCTTGAACTTGGGGCATCTGTTTGGGGAAATAGTTAAAATTTTGAGACATTAACTCTTTTGCTTCTCAAGGCCATTGGTCTCTTTTGTTAGCCTTTTTATAAACATAACATGAAGAAACATCTAGCTGCCAGCAATGTTTTCAGCCAACTGAGCAAATAGGCTTTTTCTCTTTTTTGCTAAAGGAAGAGGTTCTGGTTTACATGTTTAAAGAATGACCGCAAGACTTGGAATTGTTGCTGGGCTGGATGGGGTCTGGATTTCCTAAGTAATATGTGTACAGTGGGGACACCTTATATAGGTGTTTCTTCTAGCATGGTTATGGGGGTAACAACAACAAAACAATGTACAGCATATTCATATCCAGCAAGGACAAAAGAGGTCCTTACCTGGGAAAAAGGTTGAATACAGTGACAGAACGATAGGAAAACAGTATTACAGGAAAACTATTAGTCTTAAGATTTTTAACTACATTTACTTGCTTGATGAATCCTCAAGCCTTGGCTGTGCATAGTCAGCTGCCGGTGTGTGACTAGAGCAGGGCTTATTGTCTCCTCAAGCTTCAGCCGTGCATAGACTGGTCAGCCTCTGGAGTGACCAGAGCAGGGCTGTCGTCTCTAGCAGCAGCTTGGTCTCGTCTCAGGATCAGCCGGGTTGGATGATCTGTGTCCTGCTGGCTGGTCCACTTGTCCTGAGCTGCCGGTGTTAGCTGACTGTGGTGGACCCAAGACACGACGCCTGCAACTTTAACAGCAGTGGGAGTGGGCAAGGTTACAGTATCGGGCCCATCCTATATAGGTCCTAGAAAAATTAGATTTTACTTTAAACAGAGTCATTAGATTTAAAGGGGTGTCAGGCTTATAGGCATTTTTATTTATTTAATTATGAACACATTGTATGGCTATTTTATGAAGCCTCCATTTGCTTTCTTAAGGTTAATTTCTTCAGTTTCTGGAGGTCACCTTTAATTTGACCTATGATTTGGGGGTGGCCGACCAAACAAAATCTTATAGGGCAAATACCTAGTTTGTTTGGTGGAGGTGCACCTGACTCAGAGGAGGACCACAGGCAAAAACCTGATTTTGTCTTAAATGAGCAAACAATCACTAGCAGGCATTGATAGCCTCCAGCACGGGGCAATTCTGTAAAGTCTATAAGCAAATTTTCACAAGGTATGGCTCTTTTTACTGTTTAAGTTTCTTATAGGAGGCGTTCTTCTCCCCACCCTGCCCTTTGTAACTATTTAGTGGCTTAGCCTTCAGTGAGAAATTGTAATCCAGATATGGCAGAATCTTGCTGCTTTTAACTTCTGATGTGACCATGGGCTCCTGGGAGCCTAATGAGAAGGTGCCTAGTCTGCCCTAGTCTTTACATTCTTCAGCTTCCCGTCAGTCTGATCAGATCAGTATTTGGTTCCTCCAAGGTGCTTGTCTTGTGACCTTGGTCATTTCCTTTATTGCCTTTTGAACATTTACTTTTCTCGTGTCCTTTCTTTTTGCATCTCGCACATTAATCTCTCTCTAGCCTTGTCCGGCTCTTAATCCTTGCCTAACTTGACTTCTTTCACATTTACATTCACGTCCACATCCTCTCACATTGCTAATTTTTTCTTTTTTACACTTACTATTAGCCTTTCTTTTTTCTTTTCCTCTTTTCCAGTTTTGCTCCTTGGTCACAGTTAACATACACCTTGATGGCCACTTTCGTAGACTAGGTGGTATTCATGCCTGCAGCTTCTGCTTGATGTTACCCCTGGGCTTGCTTTACAAATGAAGTATTCACTATATACTGATTTTCAGCAGCGTCAGGTTTAAATGGGGTGTAAAGCCAGAATGCTTTATAGAGTCTCTTATAAAACTGACTTAGGCTCTTGTCAGCTCCTTGAAGCGTTTCTGAAATCTTTTTTTATATTACTTGCCTTTTTAAATTTTTATTTATTTTTTATTTTTTATATATACCAACTCTTAGCCTCTGCAGAAGTGCTTCTCAGTACCTCTGCAAATGCTGAAGCTGAGTTGCATTCTCTGGGTCTTTTTTTCCCTTTTTCCTAGAGTTTAACAGGCTCTTTTCTTTATGTAATTTTCCATGCACTTGGAGGGTTAAACAGGCATACCGAGAGTCAGTGTAAATGTTTACAGTCTTACCTTCACTGAGTTATAAGGCCCTGATTAAAGCAATGAGCTCAGCTTAATGACAGTGTCCAGGGTTACCACCGCATATTCTACACATCTCTTTCCTTGTGGGTTGATGAAGCTGCTCCTGTCCACGTATAGCTCCTAGTCTACTGGTGCCCAAGGCTGGTCCCTTAGGTCAGGTCTGCTAGAGTAAACTTGAGTCCAACACCTCTACACAGTCATGCTCGACAGGGCTCTAGCTGCTGGGAGCAAGGTGGCGGGTTCAGGGTGTTTCCAGTTTAGTAGATCAATGGTTGAAAAGGGCTGATAGATGAAAGTCTGTTGCGCCCCCGGATGTGGGCCTAGTCATTATAATAGACAGGTCCTCGCGTCTCCCTGAGAGGCATTTGCATAGCTTGAGCAAGACCAGCTCTGAGACGGCCCACTTGACTAGCTTGACTTCCTTCCTTGGCCTCTCGAGGTTCTGATCCTCCCCTTCGAGGTGAGACCTGGGGTGTGTTAGCTCCTGAATCTCATTTCTGAGGGGACTGTTAGCCTTGGTAAAGCCGGATAGGCTGGGACATATGGAGAAAGAATTTATATTATCTCTGGCGGCTCCTGCAAAACTGGCTTTTCTTGGTGTTTGTGAGACTCCTTTTTTTAACTCTGTGTCTGCTGGTGAAGCTGCTCTTACTTTTATTTTTGGCTTTTTTGCAGTAAGTTGTTAAACAGGGCTAAATTTATGCTGGTTTTGTCTATATTATATTTAACCATGAGTCAATATAAAGGAATTTGATATAGGTACACTGGCTCTCCTCCGACCCCTGTCACCACTTTAAATACATGGCTAATTGTTCCTTGTCTATAGTTCCTTCTGTGGGCCATCCAACACCAAAAGAGGGCACTTCTAATTCACACAGAGATCTTAACCTCTAAGGGGTTAACTTAACTCCATAATCTCCTGCAAAACCTTTCTTAAGGTTCTATAACATGCATTTTAATAGAGTAAGTTTTGATGATTTGATGACTTTCCTTTTTTCTTTTTGAAATTTTCCTTTTGAAATGTTTTAACACAGTTCCTAGCGGAGTAGGCTTATGTTGTGTCTGACCTATTTTTCTCTCGAGACAAAACAACATTCACATTATAAGAAGGAAAGGGTAAAAGATCACTCACTCGTCTAATTTACACTAAATCAAAATCAAAACTAAAACCAAAGTGTTGTTAAAGGCACACCTGTTCATCAAGCAATTTAAGCCAAGTCAAAATCAGAACCAAAACCAAAGTGCCAATAAAGGCGCACCTGTTTATCAAGCAATTCGAGTCAAGTCAAAATCAAAACTAAACCAAAGTATCAAGCAATTAATTCAAGTCAAGTCAAAAACAAAAACCAAAGTGCCAGTACAGGCACGCTGTGGGTGATCAGGCCATGCTTCCACTCAAATGGAGTGGGCAAGTTCCAAAGACCAGTCTTACCAAGTTTCAGATGTCTGGACTTAAAGTGCCAGTTCCTTCCTGGTGTTCAGTCACTGTGTTGATCCTCCATAGGGACCTGCTGTGCACTGCTCTGACAAGGCGTTCCACTGGGGCAAATGCCTACCCGGGAGCGCTCTCAGGATCCTTATTGCTGAAGCTGGCTGGAGTCCCCCACAGTGATGCTCTACAGGGCAGGCATAAGCTGCCAAAGGGGCTGCCTCAACCATCCATTAATAATCTCGCTTCCCAGGCAGGGAACCAAGAAATGCAGCAGGACGAGCCGCAGACAAAACTCCCTTAAAGTTCATATGGAACCAAAAAAGAGCCTACATTGCCAAGACAATCCTAAGTCAAAAGAACAAAGCTGGAGGCATCACGCTACCTGACTTCAAACTATACTACAAGGCTACAGTAACCAAAACAGCATGGTACTGGTACCAAAACAGAGATATAGACCAATGGAACAGAATAGAGTCCTCAGAAATAATACCACACATCTACAGCCATCTGATCTTTGACAAGCCTGAGAAAAACAAGAAATGGGGAAAGGATTCCCTATTTAATAAATGGTGCTGGGAAAATTGGCTAGCCATAAGTAGAAAGCTGAAACTGGATCCTTTCCTTACTTCTTATACGAAAATTAATTCAAGATGGATTAGAGACTTAAATGTTAGACCGAATACCATAAAAACCCTAGAAGAAAACCTAGGGAATACCATTCAGGACATAGGCATGGGCAAGGACTTCATGTCTAAAACACCAAAAGCAATGACAACAAAAGCCAAAATTGACAAATGGGATCTAATTAAACTAAAGAGCTTCTGCACAGCAAAAGAAACTACCATCAGAGTGAACAGGCAACCTACAGAATGGGAGAAAATGTTTGCAATCTACTCATCTGACAAAGGGCTAATATCCAGAACCTACAAAGAACTCAAACAAATTTACAAGAAAAAAACAACCCCATCAAAAAGTGGGCAAAAGATATGAACAGACATTTCTCAAAAGAAGACATTCATACAGCCAACAGACACATGAAAAAATGCTTATCATCACTGGCTATCAGAGAAATGCAAATCAAAACCACAATGAGATAGAAATGCAAATCAAAAACCACAATGAGATACCATCTCACACCAGTTAGAATGACAGTCCTTAAAAAGTCAGGAAACAACAGGTGCTGGAGAGGACATGGAGAAATAGGAACACTTTTACACTGTTGGTGGGATTGTAAACTAGTTCAACCATTATGGAAAACAGCATATGATTCTCATGATCTGAACTAGGGAAGTACCGTATGACTCCAGCTATCCCATTACTGGGTATATACCAAAGGATTATAAATCATGTTACATAAAGACACATGCACATGTATGTTTAGTTGCACTATTCACAGTAACAAAGACTGAATCAACCCAAATGTCCATCAGTGACAGACTGGATTAAGAAAATGTGGCAATATACACCATGGAATACTATGCAGCCATAAAAAAGGATGAGTTTATGTCCTTTGTAGGGACGTGGATGCAGCTGAAACTGTCATTCACAGCAAACTATGGCAAGAATAGAAAACCAAACACCGATGTTCTCACTCATAGGTGGAACCCGAATAATGAGATCACTTGACTCGGGAAGGGAATATCACACTGGGGCCTATCATGGGGAGGGAGGGAGGATTCATTGGGAGTTATACCTGATGTAAATGATGAGTTGATGGGTGCTGATGAGTTGATGGATGCAGAACACCAACACGGCACAAGCATATATGTGCACAAACCTGCACATTATGCTCA